TTATGATGTTGCCAAGGGGAGAATTGTGAGGAATTAGATTGCCTGAATGGGGTACAAAATATGATGGACTTTGCAGTCAGTAAGCTACAAGAATCTATATTGCTGAAACTGATGGCAGCAGATGAAGGTGAATGAAAAATTCATTAAGAAAAAAACTTCAAATGATGGCTATTGCTTAAAATTAAGCAAAAGTGAAAGTGCAGTTTATTTCCATTTAATCTGTTTAGGACCCTGCTGTAAAAAAGGAATGCATAATGTTAAAGTAAATAGAGCCTGTATTTTGTTACATTAAGTATCTTCCTGCCTGACACTAGGAATTCTGGTTTTCCAAACCTGAGGATGCATCAAGAATGTTCAGGAGGAAAGAAAGTCTGAGAGTGTTCTGTTCGATCTTTTGTTCAGTGACTATTGTAAAGCACCATTTGGGTCCAATTTTGCATCACATGTTGGTGATAAGCAGGATATGTTCATCTACTTGTGTACCAAATTTCTGAGTGCTAAACGGGAATGGGTTTTACATTTTTCAAAACGAAGGGGGGAGGAGAGGGGGAGACTGAATTATTTCCTTATTTCTTTTACCTCAGTGTAACCTAATAGCACTATTGTACCTGCTAGGACTTAATTGGCATGTTTAGAGTTACTCCAGCATTCGATCTAAAGGTGTAACTGATGCAAATATGGATTAAACATCAGTCACATCTATTTTTCTTTCCTCTGTCTACTTTTCTGCTTTAGTTTTTAATCAGTTTGTTTGATAAAGAGTTCTTTTGCACATTTGAGATTAAGGATATTGCCTCAAATGAGGATTTGATAATAGTTTTGATATCCCATCAATGGGATACCTATAGGGTGGTTTTTTTTCAGGGGGGAGGTGCTTTTCTTCTCTTTCTTTTCTGCTTCCTAAGGGAGTTGAGGAAATAATTACTTAGCTTGGGTAGACTCATTGAGGAATTCTCTTCCCTTTTGTTCCACCTCATTACTGTAGTTTGTCCAAGATTTTTGAACTCTTACAGTGAATCTGAAATAAGAAGTGATTTTGTTGTTTTCCCTTTATCTTCAGTTCTTAATTCTTATATGAAATAGTCATGAGCCTTGGGCTGATGGTAAGTTATCCCTTTGTTTCTCAGTACTGCATTCCCCACTGCTGCAGGAATTTTTGATTTTTGATAAATGGGCACGCAAGGAATGAAATCTTGCAACTTGGAAAAACTGTCACTCTTTTCCAGCTTTGGTTCTGTCAGAGCAATTTCAGCATCATAGAATGGGAGCAAAAAGTAAAAGACCATAGCGTCACATGGTATACAGTTGTGTTAATAAGTAAATGGAATAAAAATAGATACAGATGACACTAATAATTATATTGAACATTTATATAGTATTGTTCGAGTAAATCCATGTTCAAGTGATGTAAAGAACATGACACACATTATGTTTATGTTTCAAATAGATTAGTTAGTTGTTACCCATAAGATTATTCCATAAAGTAGCATTTCCCAACCAGCACCTCCAGATATGTTTGACTACAGCTTCCTTCACTCTCAACCAATCAATCCTTCGCCCAATTAGATACCTCTCAAATATATTGAACTGATGCCTGGAGGGTTGGGTGTGGTAGAAACTGTGTTCCAGCATATCTGAAGCAGACTGGGTTTGGAACGTCCCATTTTTCTATGTGTTGGGGAGACTGGGAGAGAATAGCCACCTTCCAACCAACCTGAGAGCTTATGGGGGATGTGAGACTTGAACCAGTGTTTTCTCTTGCTTTATCAATCAGTTGTCTGTCATCACTACACAAAACTCATTTTGTATCTAAATTGTACAAAGAGTCTCTCTGGATACAGCACACTCCCCACTATCCAAGCTGAGCTTCAGTGTCTGGAAATCTAAGGAGCAGACTGTCAAGTTGGATGAGATAACAAATGCAATAGGATAGTTTGGAATTTTGCATTTGTTAGGATATGCAGATTGAAATTAGGTGGAATCTGTGAAGCTAAATGAGGTCTGGGCTAGCCACACCTTATGATCCTCAAGTACTCTTTTCCTCAAATCCTATTTTTGTGCCACTCAGAGTGTCCCACATGACATCTTGACATCATTGTTCATTCCCTTTTGAGATTTGAAAAGTTTGGGGATTTATTGACAAAAGAACTCTAACTTTTTGCATTTGCAAGTGAGACCATTCAGCATGTAGTCACGCAGGTTAACTGCAATTTGCAATCCTGGCAGTAGTTTTGCAAAATAATATAGTATTATTATGCCCATATTGGTAACAGGGAACTGAGATTACATCATAATGATTAGATTTGAATCAGATGCTTGCAATTCATAATTCTAGTTTCTCAGCTGCTCAACTGCACTATGCACGTTTCTAAAAATGTTTTTCCAGCAATAAAAATTAGATCATTGTTTCAGGACAGGAAAGATGACTTATTGAAGCCACTAAGACTTATATGGAGAAAACAGTGTTTCAGCATTAACAACCAACTTAATGAGTTAAAAAAAGCTAATCATTTACTTATTTATGCAAAATAAGGTAACAACGTATATGCTGATGGCAGTCGCATGATTTTATATATTTTTTTTGTTGCTGTTGTTCAAAATGGGGAAATGAAAACTTTTCCTGCCAAGAATGATTGATTTGTGACATATTTTAACATTTCATTTCTGTGTTGGCTTGATATGTTAGACAACCCCAAAATATCAGATCTGTTTGCTGCATTGCTAATTTTCTTATTTGATTAATTGATTTCACAGAGTTCTAGGGTTACAATACCACTGACAATGATCGGCTATTGCCATAGCAACAACTGTACCAACTAGAAAACATCAAGCTTATTACAGCTGGTAGCAATTACAATGCACTTGTGATTAATTACCCAGGACACAATTCAGACAAGAGTAAGCACTGGTTAGGTCCTGATGATATCAGTAAAAGATTTAAGCTCAGTCTTAACAGTGCAACCTTGTGTTTTTGCAAACAAGCCTCACTCTGTTCAGTAGACTTAAAACTGTGAGATTCTATGTACATTTAGTTGGGAACACAGCCCACTAGAATGAGGCTTGTTTCCGAATAAATATGCATAAAATTGTGCTGTAAAACTTTGCCATTAAAAACAACAAAGAAACAGTCTGAAAATAATTCTGATTTTTTTCATCAAAGGTTTAGACCAGAAAATGACCCATAGGGTTCTATTTCGGTTGGGGTTATAATTCCCTAAATTAAATGTTTGGAGTTATACAATTATATATTGCATTTCGTGTAGTGCGTGATGCTGCCTAGCATCCTCCAGGTTAGGAGGATTTTAAATAACGTACATACATAAATCCCAGAATTCCCAGGCTATGGCCATGCTGGCTGGGAGTTTCCATGCTAGCATAGCTGAATGGGGAAAGCTGGTTTAAAAAGTGCCTAACGTTTTTTGAAATGCCATGTGAATGACCCAAGTTAACCTAAGGATCTTTAGTCTACTTTTTTTAAAGATTAGTTTGTACGGTTGGCCACATACTAACTGATAATTGGCATCATTGGGAATATTTAAAATTCAGTGCAAGTTTCCATTGATCGCTGGAATGCAAGCAGTTTTTCCTTTCATTCAATGGTACTGAGTAAAATAATGCTGTTAAGAAAAAAAAGTTTAGCAACAATACTGAGTTGCAGTAAACTGATTTACCGCACAGATCTATCCTAGCTTCCATGGAGATGGATTCAGTTTTGTTCTTTGAGATACAAATTTGCATTTTTCCTTACCTTTTCAGAGTAGTTTTTAAAAAGTATATATTGTGCCTTTCTTCAGAATACTTAACGATCTTTGACTTGTTCATTCTTGGACAGCCAGCTGTGCTGGTGCAATGTGTCAGTAAGATATATTTTGGTGCCTTGGAAATCATGAGACATATTTTCCTATACTATATTCTCTGTCAGATTATGAGGAAGGAACTTATAAACCTTTACTTTCAAAGTATTAGGAATAAATTATTTATTTTATGTAACTTACTGTCTTGCAGATGTGAGCCCAGATGTAACTAATATGGTTGCAAAATTCTTTTATATTGCTATTAAGACAAGAGCTCAGTTATTGATGAAACCACACTGACAGTGTTAATTTCATTTATTGAAAATATGATACTCCAGTTATTGTATTCTGTTGATTGACTAAAGGCCATTTTAACATTCATTCATTCATTCATTCATTCATTCATTCATTCATTCATTCATTCATTCTGTTTGTTATATTTATATTCTGCTTTTCTTCTAAGGAGCTCAAGGTGATGTACGTGACCCATCTTCAATTTTATCCTCAGAACAACCTTGTGAGGGAGGGGACGTGATGACTGATTCAAACTAATCCAGTAAACTTCATGAGTAAATTAGGATTGTACTCCAGCCACTTTTAAAAGCCCTTTGTAAGCAACTAGTTTAGACATTCAGCAAGAGCTTGCAAGCAGTTAGAGTCAGGTGGTAGAAAGAGAGAAAGAAAAACATGTAGCTTTATCCTTTTTAACTAATTTAGGCCTTCGCTGACATCAGCCTTACCCACTGACCAGCATGAATTTCCTTAGAATACTGCTTTTGGGCTAATGCACTTGATCAAAAAAACAAATGTGTTTCAGCCCTTGTTTTATCAGATTACAGCCTTGGAAATGTTCCAGTGTTGGAAAGCCACTTGCAATCAGTACAAATTATACTGGGCTAGATAAACCAATTGCATTCTGGAAAACATAAACATTCCTTTCCCAAGCTCATATACTGTGCTGAGGATAGTTATGTCGAAAATATTTTAAATATAATATGTAAACTATTGAAGGCACTTTTTATTGAGTCAGGCCTTAGATCTGCCTGAGTAAATCATGCAAACTTTTTTCTCTCATTGGGAACCCTTTTCATGTGACTTGCCTGCTAGAAATTCCCAGCATTTCACTGAACAATGAAGTTTAGCACGTGCAGACTCATGAATAATGCTGTTCTTTTGCCTATTCTGTTCTTCCATATAAATATTTAGGTGTTTATCTGCAAAATGTGTTGGGCAAAAAAAGGATTTGGACATTCCTAACATCTTGGTATGCTTCAGAGATGTTCATGCTGAACCAGAAAAACCTGAAAGGTATGCACACCCTGGGATCAGAAAGAAAGGAATATACCTGCTTGGCGCTTAGATCATACCCAGATGATGATTCTGGGGCTACTGTATTGTTAAAAACAACTACTCCTAAGATAGTTTTGATAGTGCCCAGAGCCCTAACTTATCTCCACCTAAGGATACCTAGAAATAATAGATAAAATGTATTTAAATGTATTTAATTATTTGAAATAGCCATAGATAGAGATACAAGGGCCACATTTAAAATGAGATTTGGGAGAAAATTAATGCATTGTTTCTGAGATTGTGGTGCTTGTGATCATGCTGAATTAACTGAATGGGAGAATACGTACATTTTTTGAGGAACAAATCAATGAAAACTACTACTTCTTAGAGAGTGATATATGAAATGATGTAATCATGTGCTAACAGAGTTTGCCTTCGGGTAAGAAATCCATACAGTAATTTTGGTTTCAGAGATTCATTGGGTTTTTATAGCTACTTGTGTTCTTTTGAAATATATACCAACAGTCTAGAAATTAACAGGAGGATAATGGCACTGGATATTCCATACCTTTATAGTCATTAAGAGATTGATGCTGCAAGGCTAGAAGGACACTTTTCTTCAGTTTTAAGGTGGTCTGAAGAACTCATCTCTCTTTCTGTACTTGAGCAAGATTTTTACCTGTTTGAAGGACAATTTAGACATATGGATTGTATGTATCAGTCTATATACCTAATTTGTCTCTTCTTCCTATTGCTAAGTGAACTGACTTAAATGTTAAATAACTTAAATGTGAATAATATAGCTTGTTGGAGGATGCATGTGTGTACAATTTTGTGGGATTATTCCCAACTCTTATGAAATCTAGCTTCTGATTTTCCAGTAACCAAGAAGCATATGTCTTTGGGAAGCCCATAGCAGGGAAAAGAAGGCAGAAATGTCATGTTCTTGCTCATGAAGTCAACTACGTTCTGCTCCTCTGCCTCAATGTTTTTAGGTCACTATTTCTACTGCTGCTAGCATTAGCCATGGGTAAATCATTTGTCCATGAATTAACTGTCTGAACTGCTGTCCATGAATACTCCTGAGACCAGGAATTCTCTGGATTCCATTTTGCGTAATAGGGCTGTGTATGCTGTGGAAATGATTCAGAAGTACTTTGGACCTCACTTGAGCACGATGCCTCTTTCCTTTGCATTAAAACAGTCTTTTTTCATGTTGCTGCACAAATCTTTAAAAAATGTGGGTGATTACAAGTCACATTAACTTTATGAACATTGACATCTTTTTAAAGGATTGTGCAGAAACCTAAAAATGTTGAGCTGCTTTAATGCAGAACAGAGAATTGCTTTGCTGACAAGATATGGAGAGCTAAGGCGCCGGGCTAGAAAGCAGGAGATGGTGAGTTCTAGTCCGCCTTAGGCATGAAAGCCGGCTGGGTGACTTTGGGCCAGTTGCTCTCTCTCAGCCCAACTCACCTTACAGGGTTGTTGTGGGGAAAATAGGAGGAGAATGGAATATTAGATATGTTCGCCGCCTTGAGTTATTTATAAAAATAATAAAGGGGGGATAAAAAAATTGTAAAAAAAAAATCCAAAGCAGTTCTTCTGAATCAGTTTTGAAGCAGGCATAGTCAGATTGTGTTATATGTATGTAGAAAGTGTTGTTCCTTTATTTAGTGTGTCTTTCTTTTTGTGAGGCAGGGTGAGTGTGGGAGTCTACCACACTGAAATTCTGGTTGTAGGAAGGCATTCACCTTCTTTTAACTACAAGTACTGTGTAGTTTAAGTACGATCTAGGAAATCTGTAGAGCATAGACTTGGCTACGTATATTACTTTCGTTATGAGTGAATGACGACTATTTCTTTTTCTTGCTATAAGGCAACCCACTCAATAGATTACAATAAAAAAATACATTGTAAAAATAATCAACAAGCATCTGCAAATAGATTCAACTGCCTGCCATTCTTGGTGGTCATTTAGGATGATCTCCAGAAGCTTGGATGTTCGCCCTGAAGTTCTAGTTGCACTTCCGGGTTTATTTTTCAACGCACAATTAAGTTTTTAGGGGATTTTTGGATTTTGGGGTTTGGGTTTGTTTGTTTGTTTTTATAACTGCTCAGCTAAGAGATTCAAATGCATTTTTCCAGAGCTCTTCATTCATCCAATATTGGGATTCTCCTTCAAGTACTGTAGTTTAGGAGTACTTTGGAGACACAATTCTAGCCCACATGAAGATATTTATAGCTGGATTAGCTAATGACTGTACAGATTATAATTTGAGAAACAGTTTTTTAATGCAAAGAAATAACCTGCTAAAGCCTCTTGTGAATGAATTCAGAGTTGCTTTGTTTTGACCCTTGGAAGTTTATAAGGTAGAAAGAAACAACAAATCAAATTTAACTTCATCTCCATTTACTCTAATCTGATTGGAATATCACTGGCAGTTTTCTGCCCTGTCTCATAATATTTGTGCAAATGGACTTTTATTATTAAGATTCTATGTAGTGCTCTTCTTCCTGCTCCCCAGGTCTGATAATTATATTCATTATTTCATTAACAGCAAACAAAGCAAAACAAAACCCAAGAACTCCTCCCTTCAGTTTAGCATGCTGTGTTAATGTTTCCCATATTCACACAAGCTTCAGAATGCAGTTCTGTACATGTACTGACATGTAGTTAAGAGCAATTCCCTTAAAAGATTATTTATTTAAGCAGGATGGATCTGCTGTGGTAACTTATGCTGTGGTTAGTTCACCTTTTCCCTGTATCTTAGAACTGTACGGCCGTCAGTAGCTGAGTAATATATCTAATGCTAAGATTGTCCAGGGCAATGATGATCAAACTGTAGTCCATGGACTGCTGGTGGTCCATTGTATCCTGTCTCCATATACTGCCCATCAAGGGGGCAAAACCTGCCTGTGCCTCAGCCCGTTTCCTGCACGCATCACCAATCAGTTTCTGTTCTTTGTTTTTTGAAGTGCGTGTGTGAACAGTGGTGAAAACTGGTTTACTGAAGCATACATACAAATAATGCTGTAAATAGCAACATGAGTACTAAAATTCCGAAAACTGACAATTGTGAACAGGTCTCAGATATAGATAATAACTGTGACTCCACATGTGCTGTGCAAATGGGAATAGAAAATGTGCACAAGTGGTCCAAAAAGAAGCATGTGAATGGGAAATACAGCACTGAATGTTTAAAAATGGGATTTCATTAGGCTGGAGATCCACTTGCTTGTAGCCCCTAAGTGCTTAAGAGATTTCTATTGAAGAACTTCTTGACTAGCATGTTTGTGCTAAGAATTGTTATTATGCCCATGGGATATATAAAATATTGCAAGTGGTAAATTCCTACTTAATTATGGATTGATTTGTAATACAATTTTTAGTTTACAAATGTTTCATTTCAGTTTAAAATATTTTCCTAATGTTTATTCAGTGGTCCATGATTGCAGAAAGCTTGAGAGAAACATTAGTTAACTAGATTTATGTGTTCACCAGAATAGAATTCCAGGAGTATGCAATCTGTAGCCGATACTGCTGAACTGTAGCTTCCAGTGCTTGTTACAGTTAGCCATTTTGATTGCTTCTGTTGGGAGCTGTAACTCAGGAACACTTGGAGTATCACAGGTTGAATATCCCTTAAGGTGTCATATTTGGGCCCCAAACATCTGGGTGATCACTGGATGAAGTGATTATTCAGATTTCGTAGCCTTGATCTGATAGCCCTAGTATCCATGGGCCAGGCTTTGTAACAAAGTAATTATGCCACTAAAGTGACATTTCATATTATAACTAGCCAGTTGGCTACACACACCATCCATATAAATGCAAAGGAACCTAACAACACCCCAGTTCCTGGGGAGGGGACATAGTTCCATTCCTGGGCCCATCATCCAATTGTGGGATCCTTTGGGCCAGCCTAAGGGTCCTTAATCCACTGTTTGTAATGGGCAACTTGTGCAGTGAAAGCTGTTGCTAGGTAAGAGTTTCTCTACTACCCATCTGCCAGATCCAACCTTCTCTTCAACAATAAGCTAAAAGAGTCCATGATGGTTTTTAGCAACCCCCTTCAAATACTTTACCATTAGGGCAAAGCACAGACAGACTGGAGTTGTACTCAAAGTGGGTACAGGAATGAAGTATCTTGTGGATCTCTTGAAACCCTGGGACAACTTTTGGAATTCATAGCATATCGTCTGCAGTTTACAAATATAACTAACCACAACCCTGATTGTAACATCACCATAAGGGTGTCTGAGATATTAACTATGGACCTCATGTAGACCAACACTTCAATTGGTTCACTGTCAGGTTTTATTCAGTCAACTAATTTGATCAGACACTATTATTCTTTTATAAGAGACTATCATAACTGTTCTAATATTCTGTGGGAGATGTGTCTCTCCTCTTAAACCGAATCAAAATTACTATGACATACTAAAATCAATATTATGAAAACGTTTCCATAATACTATTACTATTGTAATAGCTATTACAATAAATACCATTACAATTGTAATACACTATTAAATATTTAAAAGGTGCCTAAATTTACAAAATAGCAGCTTTCTGATCAATGACCATGATAAAATTTTTATTTGATTTGCTTCAATAGCAGTTGTCTCAAAATAGGGTTAAGATTTTTTTTAAGTGTATCTTATTCCTATTCTGAGACAAGCATGAATATTTATTAGAAATTAATTCTATGTTAACTTTTGAAATCTTAGAATAGGTATAAAAGTAAATTAAACACATCTGTTTCTTCATGAACTTAATTTGTAAGGATGTAAACTGAATCTAGAGTTGAGATTTGGAGATTTTTCTCAGTAAAATGATTGCAGTATAAGTCAAGTTTATAGTCATGTTGATATATGGCAGGTTATTATTTGTGAAGGATAGACTAAAACACACATTTGTATTCTCTCCTCAATCCATTATTGTATACAACAATTCACATTT